TTCTTCTTCTTCTTCTTCTTCTTCTTCTTCTTCTTCTTCTTCTTCTTCTTCTTCTTCTTCTTCTTCACAGTTTTTGCCATTATTTTTGGAATAATTTTTCTGGTATTTCCATGACAGAGTTAGGAGCTGTCTGTTTCTTGGGGATATCTTATGATCGGAAGCATATTCAGTAGGCAATAATGGGGCATATAATTGGCCATGCATATGGGCAATTGATGCTGTTATCAGACCAGATAGCCATGCATTGCTATCTGAGATCAGAAACAACCAACCACTGAGAGGTGCATTGATTGCATCTATTTGGTAATGTGTTCTCCTTTAACTAGGCTTCAGATTGCTTATAGCTGAATGGAGCTGTGTGCTATTTGACATATATTTTGCAAGAAATGCCATTGTATTTATGGCTTGCAGGACAGCCTCCCAATTTAAAATAATTTGGATGAGTGAATCTTCATAGTGATATGAGAAGTCTGTAATGGGCAATCTTTTGGCTTCCTCTAGCATTTGCAATAAGCAATGTTCTGTGAAGAATTACAAGACTGGAAAAATGAGTTATGCATGTTTTCCTTAAACCTGATTGGATGATTATTAGATTTACATAATATATTATGAGCTTCATTAATTTTACATTTGGGATTAATTTATTTGGAGACACTTAGCTAGTATTTTAAATCATGGTTGTTGACAATTTGCTACCACTTTTTTAGTACATTTTACTTAGATCCAAATTTCAAATGTAGTGGGCTACATTCCATATTGGGCAAGAGAACTTCCCTTGGCTCTTTTTCCTTTTTGCCCATCATGCATTGTTTTTCTCATTTTCCTGAAAGCTCACATTCAGCATTCAAAAAAGGTTAAAGGAAAATTATGATTACAATGTTTGCAAGTCTAATCGGTCCTCTCCTGCAATTCAGGTGGTAATAAGCAGTTTCTCATAACTTAATGCTTGATGCTGACTAGATGAAGTTGTGGTAGGTATATGTGTGTGGACAGAAAATAACAAAATGGATTTCAGTCAAACCAGTACTGTGAAATTTCTTATTTTCTTAATAGCAGGATATTCTGGCTGAATTACAATGCATTTTTTTAAAAAATGAAAATAATAAATACAATGCAGTGAAATAATAGAAGACAGTAAAACAAGATGCAGTAATATATATTACTTGAGGCAATATTGCTCTGTGTACACAGTTATACTCTAAGGGCTGTTGAGACATTAATGTGGATTCTGGACTGTCACAAAGAAACTGAAAACTTTTTCAATCTGTTGTTGATAGTATGAGTCGGATGAACAGGAAAAGAGCGCCTATCAAGAGTATGATAGTGACAGTGATGTTCCTGAAGAACTGAAAAGGGACTATGTTGATGAACAGACTGGAGATGCCCCAGTAAAAAGGTACTTTGGGTACATATTTTGCATTTCATGCCATTCTTGGGAACCTGTTATCACTTCGACGTTATTGAGACTTCAAAAGGAAGAACAACTCTTTTTTTAACTTTCTTTCAGATGGCCTCATTAGGGAGAATAAAGCAACCTGCCTCAAGAAGCTCAGTTTGAGTGTCCTGAAGGGACACAAATTGCTAGTTCATCTGTTAGTTAATTATTAATTTGTTAATTGTATCTTTACTATCATGGAAGAGCAGATTTAGGATATTTTGGGTCAGTTGCCAAAGTAACTGAAGATTCTTGCTAAATGCTCAAAGATCTCTCTTGTCTAGAATTTTATGGCACGCAGTGGTCAAGTAAGGGTTTCCTGGAGGTTCACAAGCATGGACAGGAGGATGATATCCTTCTACCATTATTCCTTAACAAATGCTATAAATAAGTCCTCACTTACTGACTGCCTTGTTTAGTGACTGTTCGAAGTTACGATGGTGTAAAAAAAAGCTTTGTGACCAATCCTTGCATTTACGACTGTCACAGTGTCCTGCAGTCACATGATCACCCTTTGTGTGCTTCACAACTGGCTTGTGACAAGCAGTTAACAGAGAAGGCAGAAGTAAAATCGTAAGTTATGGTCACATGATGTTTCACTTAAAAACTGAAGGGGAAATGAGGTGGTAACCCCATTGTGGTCACATGATTTTCTGCTTAGTGCCTGCAGCGCTTAGCGACAGTTGCCAGTCCCAATTATGGTCACTAAGTGAGGACTACCTGTTATTTAAGGTATGCTGCCTTTGATTCAGGAGGTAATATACAGTCATCAAGATTATTAATTATGATTGCCTATTCTCCATGACCTGCCTAAAAAGTAAAGCTTCTTTTGAGTTGAGCTCAGCTCCTGCTGAAATAATGGACACATCCATGTAGTTTTCTTGGCAACAATAAGCTATTGCTATTTTCTGGGATGTATTTTGAGTTGCAAGCCTGAGATTTTCTGTGATCTCCCAACCAAGTTCTAGCTAGGTCTGATTAGCTTTTTGAAATCAGTCAATGTTGGTTAGGCAGACCTATCTACTCCTGTTTTATGACCGTTAAAACTAATGACCATCACAGCATCATTGTAAACTGTCTTAGGTACTGAGCTCCTTGACTTGCAGTGGGAATGAGCGTGTGCTGTGTTGCCTTAAGCAGCCAAAATTTCTTGGCTTTGGCATTAGGCACATCTTCAGTCCTATGAAATTGGAAGGAAGCTACATAACAACTTTAGCATTTGTAACACTAAATCCTTCATGTATAAAGATTTATTTTCTTGCAGCACTCATCCCTTCCAAAATTAGGCAGACTTTGATTCTAAGGCATTATTGATTTGTACTCAAGGTCATCATATGACCTTTATCCTGAAAATCAATGAGACGTTTGTTCTTTCTAGTTCTAATAATACTTACACAGAATAACAAAATGCTACAAATCACCTCTAAAATTAAATCATTCATCTGTTGTGCTTTCTTATCCAAGAGTAAGATGAGAGAGGAGATCCTAAAAGCAGTTTTAGGGAACTGCTATGTTATTCCAGCAATTGTTTTGGTTTGAAGATGATAAAAATATTTTTGGGTGGGTGAGGTGTTTTCATAAATTCCACATTTTGGCAAAATTAAGTGATTGAAATTAAATTCCCAAGGTGTCAGAACAAAAGTAATTAAAATATATTAAAAATATAAACACACCATCTTCCCCAACTTAGTTTTTTATTGTACGAATTGTATTAAATTTGTAAGCTAATACAATTAATTATACAAGTAGTCCAAGTAATAATATAAGTGATAATACTCAAAACAGAACAAATACATTTCATTTAACTACTGTTAATAAAGTTATATACATAAAAGAATCAAAACTAAACTAAAATATTAAACTGAACAATTTTAGTTCTACTGTTTAGCTAAACTACAGTAGAAACAGATCAAAAAGGAAAGAAAAAATGAAAAGAAAAACAACTAAAGAAGGAAGAAAAAAAGAAATGAAAGGCTAAGATGTGAAAAAAAAAAGAAAGAAAAATAATCTTTTTGATTTTTCACTTTTCTCCAACTCAGTATTTATTAGGTGTCTGATAAAGTAAAAGAAGATTCATTTTTCTGACACATCTGTGCAATCTGCTGGATATCTGTGTACTTACAATTAATGTCTTTTACCTAGCGTTTCTCGAGAAACTCTGAGAAGCAGGAAGAGATCAGATTATTGCCTCAACAAGGTGAATGCTCCCATTTTAACCAACACTACACTTAATGTAATTAGGCTTGTTGGTAAGTGAAACTTTGAGCTTTTTATTTTTAAATGTGCACAGTGTGTTCTATCTTTTATATCTTTTTATATATTTTTTAAAAAGCTGGAATTTAAACCTTATTGGAAAAAAGTATTTATCAGTAGTCTCCATATTCTCATGAAAATATATCAGGTCTTTCTTGGGTAACAGGGCAAACACAGCAAAAAAATATTTCCAAGGACAGAAAGTGTCAGATAAGTAGATCTATTCTAGTAGACTATGAAGCTATTACGAAAGAATGTCACTGACTCCTGTGTATCATATGTGAGCTCTATTATGACAGCCAGTGTTCAGGTTTTTTGTGCCTCTTTCTCCTGCCTGCTATGTAAAAAACTGGAAGTGAGTCTCTGTTGGGTGGGACATTAGTTTCCACCTGTTCCTTGTCTTGGTAACAACCAGATATAATACAAGGGTGGTTCCTTTGACTGTGTAAAAACTGTCACAAAAGATGTGTGTGCTCATATAAAGTTTCAGTGTGTGTGTTTGTGTCTGTGTATTTCCTTAATCTTTATTAAGCAAGAAAACATAATCAGATATATAGAAAATGTCAGATAGATACAGAAACACATATATCTCAAATCTACAGATATAAATAAAAAGTTAGCATAAAATACAATATAGTGGAGGCACAGAATCAAGCAACCTGGGAGGATACATCCACAGTCTTGTGGTGGCATTATAAAAATGTCCATCAGCACATATGCCCATGTGGGATCCTCTGTGGAGTCCCTGGCCATCTGCTCGCGTGTTGCTCGCTTTGCAGAGAATGCTGGTTGACATTAATCTATTCCAGGGTTTTTCAAACTTGGCAACTTTAAGTTGTGTGGACTTCAACCCCCAGAATTCCCCAGCCTGCTGAGTTGAAGTCCACACATCTTAAAGTTGCCAAGTTTGAAACACACAAATCTATTCCATTCTGAAGAAATACCTTGGCAGGGACACCAAGCTTATTTGTTGCTTTTCTGTCTCAACAGGATCCTAATGTATCATCTCAGGCTGCTCGATTCTTTGCCTCTATTTTTTCTATTTGTCTCACTTATCAGTGAAGAATAGTATTAGTCTTGGTGATTATTATTATTTTGTATTTTATGCTTATCTATAGATTGTAGATGTATGTGTTTATATCTGACCTATGTATTTGATGCATATTGTGTTTTCTGGCTGTAAAGCTGTAACAAAGATTAAGTAAGGCGTGCGTGTGTTTAAAAAATCATGGTTCTTCAAGCTCAGGTTTGAAATACTCCCATTTTATGCTGTTTTTAAGGCCAAAATGTGCCCATTCTCTTGGTGGTAGCTGGTTCTTCTGGGTCTCCGCCATCTTTAGCTTTGAGCTGGGGAATAGGAAATGGAAAAAACACTCTGTCTCCTGACTCTCAACCTCAACCCCCAGGTAGATAAAGGAGAGTGCTGACTGTGGAAAAATCACCTGCTTTTTGAAACAACCTCTCCAGGCACTGGGTCTTGCCTCAGTCTCACCCACTAGGTGATGGCACCATTGCTGCAGAATAGCAGGCATATTTCCTTGTAGCCATTCACAAGTTCCAGGAGCAGTAATGATATTAATCACAATCAAGTCAGGTGTCTGTTGTAGCACTCCTGCTTCTTCTCTCTCTTTGTGCTGTTTATATACCTGCCTGTGGTTTTGGTCCAGCACTTAGTAACCCCCACACACACACATACTGATCATCCTATGCAGCCTAAGCAGCAGGAACATAATATTGAATAATAAAGACATATGTTTTTATTTTCACCTTTATTTTGCCTTATGTGAATCTTGAGTGTCTGTTCTTGAGAATTCAAGGATTCTTAAGAATGGATGTGGTATATAGTGTTGGAAATTTGCTGGGTAAATAGCTGAAGTAGCTGAATGTTTTCCCTCATATAGTAAACAGAAACCAAAAAAATCCTCTTTTTGAATTCTGACAAAGAATAGGTAAATAAAAAACGAATGTCATTGAGTTCAGTAGGGGAAAATTCTTGTGGATCAAATGGATCTTTTTACAGGTGAAAATAAATCATTGTGAAATAAAGAAGGCCCTTATTTCTGTACATATATATGTAGCTAACATACTTTATCTAATGTCTTCTAAAGATAAAAATGAAAGGCTAAGGAGCCATAACTTTTTGACATCATTCTTTTCTGTACTGTCTGCCTCATATATTAAACAGAAACCAAAAAATCCTCTTTTTGAATTCTGACAAAGAGTAGGAAAATAAAAAAATTAATGTCGTTGAGTTCAGTAGGGGAAAATTCTTGTGGATCAAATGGATCATTTTACTGGTGAAAATAAATCATTGTGAAATAAAAAAGGCCCTTATTTCTATACACATATGTAGCAAACATACTTTATCTAATGTCTTCGAAAGATAAAAATAAAAGGCTAAGGAGCCATAATTTTTTTGACATCATTCTTTGTGTAACAGCTGAGTTAGACGTAAGCTCTCAACAGATAGAGTGAGTTTTCTGTCTGGAAGTAATATTCTTATCAGTAGGAAAAGTACCTATAAACTTTTGGGAACTGCATTATATGCTACATGGAGCAACTGCCAGGGGAGGATGATAGAGAATCCTGATTGCAATATTTTAACAGATATGTTAAACAAGTATGTGTTAATGAGGAAGCTTTAAATAGTTTGGTTGCTCTGCTTGCTACTTAATCTTTGTTAAGATGTAAGAAGTGAGCCTTGAAGAATTTGTTGCTTCTGGATGTGCATCAGCATATGTGTTTTTATGATCCCTGATGTAACAAAATTTGCTTTAGTATTTGGGGGACTTTTTCATAACACTTTTTAAAAAATGCCACTCAAGTGATCCTATTGACTCATTAGCTTCATCTATGTTGTTGTTCAGTCGTTAAGTCGTGTCCGACTCTTCGTGGCCCCATGAACCATATTGCACCAGGCCTTCCTGTCCTAGCTTCATCTATAATGTAAACAAATTGATTTTCATCTTATGGACATAATGGAATGTAATTAAATTGTTTTCCACAGAACCTTATTTTCATGCATTTTTGCTGTTTTCCCCGAGCTCTTTCCCGGTATCTCATTATGCTTGGAGAAAATTTACATTGGTTAACTTCACCTAAAAGCATGAGCTGAAGTGCTTTAAAGTCTTCTGGGATGCTTCTGTAATAGGTTAATAAATTTTGCCAATAATTCTTGGCCAAACATTTGATATCTGTCGTTGGACTAACAGTCTGTTGTTGTATCTGCTTGTTTGAAGAACATGCAGAATTATCCTCTATAAATCTGTGTAGAGACATTGATAATCTTTAGATGAACTTGGCACAGATGAAATAATTCAGGAGTTTGAAACCAGAAAAATAAGAAAAGATTCCTATATCCAGCCCCCAAATTGTTCATTTTTAATTATTTCTATTATAACTTCTATAAAAGGTATCCCTAGATAGCCTGGCAGTTATGTTGCAGAAGGTTTCAGCCTTGCTTTGAAATACTAGTTTGGGCGTAAATATCTGGAGAGAAGTAGAAGAGATGGACAGAGTAGAAATGAGCAGCATTTTATGTACATGTGTATGTCTGTTTATTATTAGATTTATATCCCACCTTTATTTTATGCAACTCAGGGCAGCATACATAATGCTCTTACCCCTTATTTTTTCCACAACAACAATATCCCTCTGAGATTGGTTGGTCTGAGAGAGAGCAACTGGCCCAACGGCACCCAGCTGGCTTTTAGGCCTAATGGAGGACTAGCATGCACGGTCTCCTGGTTTGTAGTCCAGCACCTTACCACTACACCATGCTGTGTCTCTAGTTTAGACCTCAGGCCCATTCTGGGTCCTGAGATATTTTTATTTAGTTCAAGAATCTGTACCATAATTTAAAAGCTATAGTAAAAGGCTTTGTGGTGGTTGTGTGTGCCTTCAAGTTAGTCTTGATTGCTGGCAGCTGCCTGGATAAGTTCCTTTTGTTTTCTTGGCAGCATTTTTGGGAAGTGGTTTTTCATTGCCTCCTTCCTAGGGCTGTGAGAAAGTGACTGGTTCAAAGTCACCCTGCTGCCTTTTTTCCTAAAATGGGACTAGAGCTCACAGTCTCTTGGTTTCTAACCTGGTGCCTTAACTACACCAAACTGACTCTCAGTAAAAGGCTGGCCAGTTTTATCCTGAAAAGGAAGGAAGGAAGGAAGGAAGGAAGGAAGGAAGGAAGGAAGGAAGGAAGGAAGGAAGGAAGGAAGGAAGGAAGGAAGGAAGGAAGGAAGGAAGGAAGGAAGGAAGGAAGGAAGGAAGGAAGGAAGGAAGGAAGGAAGGAAGGAAGGAAGGAAGGAAGGAAGGAAGGAAGGAAGGAAGGAAGGAAGGAAGGAAGGAAGGAAGGAAGGAAGGAAGGAAGGAAGGAAGGAAGGAAGGAAGGAAGGAAGGAAGGAAGGAAGGAAGGAGTTAGTTCATATCTTAAAAATAGAGGCATTTCACCCTTTTGTAATATTCAGCTTCTAGACTTTGTATGAAACATGATATTAAGAATAAACCTACAAGGTTCTCTATATGTCTCTCAAATATGAAAAGTAGCTTTGTCGTATTTGAAAGTGCTTCTGCTTTTGCTTCTACATATTGGGGCACCTATTTTTATTGTTGCTCATATTCCTTTACACATATCATCTCATTTGAAAAGCTGCTTATGGATGTTGAGGCATCCTCCAGAATAAAATGAGATATGAAATGCAGAAGCCATTGAAAACAAGTACCCTGATAGGTACTTGAATGCATACGTTTTGGATACATCTCATACTTTTGTATGTCACCCTGGGCCTGAATGCACATCCCCTAATTTGGGGAATTCTAGATTGCCAGCATACACCTATCTTATTATGACATTAACATCAAAAAGCTCTGTGGAAAGCTCTGTTTTAACAGCTTTGCAGCAGGATGCCAAATTTGGTGCTGACCTAATCTTGGGGATGGGAGGCAGAGGGAGAGTTTATTCTGCTAAGTGGTACTGCCACTGAAAATCACTGCCTCTGGATTC